AAGGAAGTCACATCTTTCAGTTGACCACTTTAGTTGTGGTGCTAAAGTGAGCTTTAAATGTCATCTTTAGCTGCCATCTGATTCTTCTTCAGTTTATCTTTCCATGAAATCACCTAACTCATATTTGAGTGTCTTTAACAAATTGAAACTCATACTTCGTAACTATCTATGCCTGCCAGCAAATTTTTTTTCATGTATTGAGCCAAAATTTTTCTCTAGACAATTTCCACCCATTGATCTTTGTCTCTTTTCTGAGGAATAATACAACCTAGATTCAACAACTCTTTCACATGACCTCTTGAAAGCACTATACATTTTTCCATTTTTATTAATTTTAATAAACATTTACAGAGATTTTGAATTTCCATTCATTCATTGCTGCACTTTTCTCCCTGCCCACCCCTCCCCACCAGTTCACTCCTCTCTTTGAAAAGAAAAAGAAAAAAAAATTCCTTCATTGGTATAAAATTCCCCCATCCCCCCCCCGCCCCGCACCGAGTACACTTCTCTATGCAACCTTAATTCTGGACTCCTGTGCTAACCATAATACTCAATCATATATCGCCTCTAATCTGTTCTTTACATTTTAAAAAACAGCATTACATTCTTCCCACAGTAGTCTAACCATCCACAATTGTTAGACTTGGTGATTTCTCCTGAGACTATCAGCCTACAGAAAATTTCCCAAAGATTTGAATTCTTACCTAACAAAATTAATCGATGGGTAATTCACCATATCAATTTCTTCATAGCATAATAGTTAAGAATGCAGGCTCAGTCGCAAGTAATAGCTGATTAAATACTCACTCGGCTGAGTTGTTTTGAGAAATAAATAGTATTGTAATGCACACACACTGAGGAGGACATGAATCGCTTGCTGCAAAAGGTCAAGAACTGCAGCCTTCAATATGGATTGAAGCTCAACATCAAGAAAACAAAAATTCTCACCACTGGGCCGATTGGCAGCATTATGATAAATGGTGAAGAAATTGAGGTTGTTAATAGCGTCAGTTTGCTTGGTCCACAATCAACTCTCTTGGTATCAGCAGCCAGGAATTTAAAAGATGAGTTGCACTTTTTATGCATCAGAGAGTTGGACAATGATTGATTAGGGATGACAGAAGGAGAATTGATGATTTTGATCTGTGGTGCTGGAGAAGACTGCCAGGAGAACAGATAAATTTGTCAGAAAGAAGGTGAAAACAAGCTGCTCTTTGGAGGCAAGGATTCTGAGATTTCATTTGACATACTTTGGGCATGTTGCCAGGAGGGACCAGTTCTTGGAGAAGGACATCATGCTTGGAAGGGTGGAAGGACAGCACAAAGAGGAAGACTCTTCATGAGATGAATTGATTTAGTGACTGGGATAATGATGGTGTATCAGAGAAAGTAAAGTTGGCAAAGAATAGAGCAGTTTTCAGGGCTATTGTATATAGGGTCGCTATGACTTGCAAGCAACTCGAAGGCACCTAACAACAACAACAACAACAACAATGCACACAAAATATTTGAAAACTTACTATGTGCCAGGTATTTTCTTAAATCCTTATTTGTGCCATCTCATTTAATCCTGTGTCTGCGCTACACACATGTTTGAATGAGTTTGCATAGCAAATCAGCTTTTCTTTCAGCCATTCCTACACATTTTGTTGCATAATATTAATTATAATACTTGCAATATAATTTAACTCTTCATACTCTCTCCTTAGGCTTACTTTCCATCAACCCTTCTATTTTTCAAAGCTTCAGAGTTTTGGCCTTGGAAAAATGCTACCATTTTTTTTACCTTATATAGTGGTTATTACCAAGTTTAGAAGCAGGAGGGGCATCCACTTCTAAAATAGCTTGCCTCTGGAAGCTCTATGAACTTGAAGAAACGATGAAGATTATACAAGTGTTCAGGTCTTTCATTCATAAGGTGTCTATGGGTCATTTATGGCATGACAGCACTTAACAACAACACAGAGAGAGCTCTGTTGGCCTAGTGGATAGAAAGTTATGCTACCAAGCCAAAGGTGGATGATTTTAATCTACGGCCCTCAGGCTTGGTTTTAAATATTTTTGTTTAAACATTCTTTTAAGTGGTATAGCACTGGTCTTTCAATTTGCTACACAGAGGTAACTCATGGCTGCTATGGTGTCAAATGTGATAATGGTTACCCATAGTGGACAATGTTTGGTGGAGCTCCCCAATTAAAACAAGCTTGGAGGCAGGAGTGGCATCCACTTCCAAAATAGCTTGCCTCGGAAAACTATGCATCAAAGAGCTGGACAATGACTAGGGATGATAGCAGAAGAATTGATGCCTTTGAGCTGTGGTATTGGAGAAGAATATAGAATATACCATGGACTGCTAAGAAAACAAACAGGTTCATCCTAAAGAGGGAGAGACCAGGCTTCCCCTTGGAGGCAAGGGTCCTCAACCTTTGTTTGACATACTTGGAACATGTTGCAAGGTGGGATCAGTCCTTGGAGAGGGAAGTCATGCTTGGGAGGGTGGAAGGACAGCACAGGAGAGGAAGAACTTCAATGAGATGGATTGACTCAGTGACTAGGGTAATGGGGATAGGCGTGTCTGAGACAATAAGATTGGCACAGGATAGATCAGGGTTTAGGGCTGTTGTACATAGGGTCACTATGAGTCACAGGTGACTTGATGGCACATAACAACATTAATATCTCTTTTTTGGAAAAAAGAAGAGGGGAAAAAAGCAAAGATATATATAATAAAATTGGTTCAAAAGACTAATGGACCATGTTTGTTGTTGCTAGGTGCCGTTGAGTCATAGACAACCCATAGCGACCCTATGAAGGAAAAAAACTGAACACTTGTACAACTTTTACCATTTCTCCACATTCATAGAGTTTCCAGAGGCAAGCTATTTCCAAAATGGATGCTACTCCTGCTTCCAAATTTGTTTTCATTGGGGAGCTCCACCAAATACTGTCCACCATGGGTAACCATTCTCGCAATTGACACATCAGTGTCACAGTTTAGCATCACAGCAACCACAAGTTACCTCTGTACAGCAAATGGACCATGGGAACCTGAATTTCCATAACACTGAGACCAGAAGAAATAGATGATGCCAGGCTAACACTGAAAACCACTCAAAAAGGTGTGAGGTAGGGCAAGATTCAGGTCTGTTGCTCACAGGGTCACTATGAGTTATCATTGACTTAATAGTACCTCACCAACAGCACCAACTCCCTTTCCATCCCTAGTAACCATTCAGTAATGATTCTTGCAGCATGCAAACATTTCTTAAGCTTTTAATAGTTGTGAACTCATACAGTATTTGTCCTTCTGTGACTGACCTACTTCATTCTGCCTAATGTCATCTAGAAAAATGGAAAAATCAGAATATGGTATGAATATAAATAAATCAATCTCTGCATCCTCTTAATGTTATTCTCATGTTTAAATAAGATCCTAGAAGCCCTGTTGGGTGAAATGTCTTTATCTTTCTAGAGAAATTGGTTTGCAACATATTATATTTTTCAACTTTTATTATTTCTTTCCTATTATAACAGCTTAATACATGAAGTAAAGCAATTGTTTACTTATTACTCAACATCTAGTGACTTACATTTAGTTATCTAGTTTAAATTTTCATTTTTCAACCTAGTTTTTATTACCATGGCCAGAATGAAAAGGAAATAAACAGAAAAGTCTGAATGTAAACGTCTTTCTTTTTTTCCACTTTATTTTTTAACTACTTAACAACAACAACAACTACAACATGGTGATTTTAACAAAAGTTTACCAAGAGGTTGGGTTTTCATTTATTCATTGATACACTATACCTCTCTCTGAGTTGGATCAAAAATTTTACTATGTGCCTTGTCTTAAATGACAACTCAATTTATAGCTGTCTAGTCAGAACTGACTCCTAGTTGACCATCCATTGAGTTTCTAAGACTATACATCTCGTGGGAAGAGAGAGCTTGTGTTTCTCACACAGCCATTGGTGGATTCAAACTTACGATGAAAATACATTTTGCGTTACAGTGCAACTCCCTATGGACTAGACAACCAGAACTCTTACACATTAAATTTTCCTATTTGAATGGTTTGGCTAGAACATATTAACTATTGAAAGACATGCAATCCAAAATAAATAATGGCCTATAAGAGAAAGATTCTCACCACTGTGCCATTTGGCAGTACCATAATAGATGGAGAAAAGATTGATGTTGTCAGCAATTACAGCTTGCTTGGATCCACAATCAACACTCTTAATACCAGCAATCAGAAAATCAAAAGACGAATTGCATTGGGAAAACCAGCTGTCAGGGCTCTCTCCAGAATGCTGAAGAGCAACAATGTCAGTCTAGATACAAAGGTGTCACTAATCCAGACCATAGTCTTCTCAATTACTTGTTTTGCTTCACAGAGTTGGACAGTGACTAAGGATGACAGAAGAAGAATAGACACCTTCGAGTTGTGTGTTGGAGAAGAGTCTTGAACATATCATGGACTGCCAAGAAAACAAGTAGGTCTGTCTTGGAGAGAATGAAACCAAGTCTCTCCTTGGAGACTAGGATTTTGAAGCTATGTCTCACTTTAGGCATGTTGCCAGGAGAGATTGGTCCTTGTAGAGGGACATCATACTTGGAAGGGTGGACAGACAGCACAAGAGAGGAAGACCCTGATGAGATGGATTCATACAGTAACTGGGGTAATGGGGTTGGTTTGTCAGAATTAGTGAGACTGGCTCAGGACAGGGAAGGGTTCAGAGCTGCTGTACAAAGGGTTGCTATACATAAATAAATTACTATGACAGGTTTGGAAGAAGAAGTGGCATCCACTTCCTAAACCATATGTCTCTGGAAACTCTATGAACTTTGATAAATGTCAATAGTTGTATAGGGGCTTCAGGCCTTTTGTTCATAGGGTCGCCATGAGTGGTGCTCTTCTTGAAGGCAATCAACAATAACAACATAGCAAGTGCATATTGGGGAAATATTGACTCTATTGATTATGTTTAACTACTTACTATTGTACTTTTTTTGTCAGTATAGAAGAAAAGTGTAGATCCTCTCAATTCTGTCCAATAATGTTTAAACTCCTGTGAGAAAGAAATTATGAACATTATTTAATTAGTGTACATCTAAGGATTTTCTTATTGATTTCCCCCCTTTGTGGTTTTCTTGGTTACTTCTCTAAAATAAAGTTGCTAACTGGGGAAGGAAAGGAGAGCGTTATGCTGAATGAACTTAGACTCACAGGGACAAATACTGTATAAAACCATTATTGTAGAATGAGTATGAGGATCCAAGGTGGGGGGAAGAGTGGAAATAGAGGAGTGAGGATATGGGAGGGTAGGGTGTTAGTCATAGGGTTGCACAATTTTGTGGGTGGGTGAGGTGAAGGATATGGGAAGAACCTTTTTTGAAAAACAATGTATTCCAACTGTAAATAGACTAGAATAAAATTAAAAGTCCTTTTACCATTACTTCCTTTAGGGTTTGATAAGCTCATTTATTTCTTTTTATTTCTTCTCTTCATAACACTTTATTGTGATTTATGTGAAAGTTTACAAATAAAATATATTTTCCTTTCAATAATTTGTATGCATAGTTTTTGGGATTTTTTTTATGACCCATAGTTGGAATCCACTAGCTCCTCTGTAGGAAAAAGATGGACAAACTCTTCCCATGCAATTTACTGTCTCTAAAGTTACCCACTGATGAGTCAGCTATGAGTCTATTCCAACTTGCTGGTTCCCACAGCAACAACAACAATGCTCTTGGACTCTCTCTTCTTCCTCCATAGAGTCCCTATTTCCATTTATCCATCTTTCTCCCCCTTAATTGACTCCTGGATTTGCTGTTGGATGCCCATTTGATCCTAAGGGAGAATTCATTGTTCTGAGGTGCACATTCTTCTTGGGTTGTGTTCACTTTATATGCCTGCCTGTTGTTTGATGGCATAGTGCTTAGGGAGTTGGCACTGTTAACTCAACGGTGTTGTCTCTCACAGTTTGAATCCATCAGCCACTCTGAACAATGAATAGTCTCCTTCTATGCAATCTGTACCCTCCCCAAAATCCAGCTTGATGGTTGGTCAGCTATGAGTCATTTTAAACTCAACAGCAATGAGTTGGTTTTTGGTTTTTGGTGGTTATTGTTTGGTTAAAGCATGGTCTTCAGGGTTGAATTCACTTCTAAGTTTGAAGTGTTTCCAAATGCTATTGTCCCAGGATTTCTCCCAGTAATTGATAGGTTGGTGAATCCACTCTGCCCAATCCTACTACTGTGATCTCTGTCAGAGCAGTCAGTAGTGTTAGCTCGTAATCATCTAGAGCTTTTCTTTAGTTAATGGAAGTTGTGGTTCATCTGATCCATTAATCTGCAAACTAATTGTTTCCTTGAGCTTTTGGTTTTGTTTATCCATTCTTTTTTGCTCCAGTTGGGGGAAAGACCAACTGTTGAACCCAAGATTGCCACATACTCTTTAAGACCTCGGGCACTACTGTCATAGTACGATGTAGAATAGTGTGTTTATAGACTATGCTGTACTTATTTTTCTGGATGAAAAAAATTGAATTCCAGCAATATATTTGGTTATTATGACTTTTATCAGTTTATTATCTCTTCAAAAATATTCACCCACTCAAGTAATGATATTTCTAGAACCTATTTTGTCTTTGTTCCTAAGAAATTCAGTAGTAATTTTAAATTGAAACAGTTATCCTAAAAAAAAAAATAGTTATCCTTTAATATATCTTTCCTTCATCTTCATAGACCTGCTGTTTAGTCTCGTTAGGTACTGTATTAGTTAACTTTTGCTTTGTTACAAGTCATCCTAAAACTTAGTAAAGCAGGAAATATTTTCTACCAAAACAGGAAATATTTTCTACTTCATGCCATTCTATATTGGGCTAATTGGTTTTTCTGGTCTGGATGCACATAGCTATAGCTAAATGGTCTGTCTAGCTTGTCTAAGATTTAAGTAAGAATAGTGGGCTGACTGGAAAGCGGAGAACAACCAGAACTTTAATCCATATGGCCTCGAATCCTCCAATATCGTAGACTTGTTCACACTCTAACAGACAGATTCACAGGATCAAGAGAGGGTAAACTTCAATATTCAAGCAATATTTCCAATCTTCTACTTATGTCACATTTCCCAAAGCATATAATATGACTCAGAGGTAAAAATATAGATGAACATTTTCATGGGAAGGACTGAAAAATAACATTTCAAAGAGGAGTGACAGTGAAGTCTGGACAAAAGTGATCTTGCAGCAATATACCACATGAGCAAAAATATTTGTCCAACTCCAGTGGTCTTTCTAGTCTCCTTCTCCTCAGTTGACAAATGGCTAAAAAATACACTAAATTTGTTAATTTCTAATCAAAAGGAACCAATTACTATAGAAAAGAAAATTCAAATCAGTGTGACCAGAAGATTATGGCAATAGATGGTCCCATAAGAGACAATTATAAAACTTAGCAAAATATGTACAACTTGTTCTTGTCTGAAATCCAAAGGCTTAATTAAAACTGACGTATATCAGAGTTAAACAGTTTAATAAAGTAGTATAATAAAATTTAATCTCAGCAATAGCAGAAGTCCTATTTTTTAAATAAGATGCAAAGTAGTATTACGCATGCTGTAGTCCTTTATGGGTTATGCAGATGACTCAACTCTCCTTGCTGAAACTGAGGAGGAACTGAAGCACTTGCTGTGGAAGGTCAGGGACTGCAGTCTCCAGTATGGATTGAGACTCAATATCAAGAAAACAAATATTCTCACCACTGGGCCGATTGGCAGCATCATAATGGATAGTGAAGATCGTTCACATTCAACACTCATGGCACCAGAGCCAGGAAATTAAAAGACATATTGCAATGGGAAAGTCTATCATTAGAGACCTATGTAAAGTGCTGAAGTGCAAAGATGTCACTCTGGAGACTAAGGTGCACCTGATAAATGCCAAGGTCTTTGAAATCACTTGCTATGCACCAGAGAACTGGACAATGACTAGGGATAATAGAAATGATGCCTTTGAGCTGTGGTGCTGGAGAAGAGAATTGGATATACCATGGACTGCTAGGAAAACAAACAGGTTTCTCCTGGAGAGGGTGAAGCCAGGCTGCTCCTTGGAGGCAAGGATTCTGAAGCTTCATCTGACATACTTTGGGCATGTTGCAAGGAGGGACCAGTCCTTGGAGAGGGGTGTCATGCTTGGGAGGGTGGAGGGACGGCACAGGAAAGGATGACCCTCGATGAGATGGATTGATTAGGTAATGGGGGTAGGTGTGTCGGAGATGATTAGATTGGCACAGGATAGGGCAGAATTTAGGGCTGTTGTACATAGGGACGCTATGAGTTGCAGATGACTCGATGACACATAACAACAACAAAAACATAGTACTTTAATTGGTCTCTCTTTTGCCTTCATACATTCTCCATCTCTGGCCTATAGTTAAGAAGTTTCATTACAATCCAAAGACACGTAAGTCTATTAACTGCTGTGAGGGAGAACGGTGGGAAGTCGCCCCCCCCTTGTAATTTACTCCCTCTGATAATTCACTGAAGGGTCAGCTGTGAGTTGGTTCTGACTCCATGGCACACAGCAACAACATACTGAAAGGGACTGAGTGTCTTCTAGGTGAATTTGATAAAGGCAGCATATTCAAAATAGCCTTCCTTTTCTTGTCAACTCTTGCCTCAGCCTACAAGGAAAGAGTGGATATTCTTCTCTTTCTATTATAATAAGGCAAGAAGATTCAAAAGAGACAAGCTATAATACTAATCTTGAGGCAATAAAAGGATAATACTTGTTGGGCTAAGTTATTAGTCTATTTATGGCCTTAGCTTTAAATTATTCTTAAATTTTTAAAATTTATTTATTATTATTATTATTATTATTATTATTAATTTTAATGAAAATTTACAGAGCTTTTGGATTTCTAGTCCTTCATTGTTGCACTTTTCTCCCTTCTAAACTATTTTTTAATTGCTGTTAGTTGCCTTCATGCCAACTCTGACTCATGGAGACTTATAAGTATGTTGATCAGAATTTCATTTCACAGAATTTTCAAAACTCTGATCTTTTAGTATCAGGTCCCCAGGCCTTACTTCTGAGGCATCTCTGCATGGATTTGAACCACCAACTTTTGGTAAGAGTCCAGTGCTTAACTAGTTGTGCCACCCAGAGACTCTTCACTTGCTTTAGACTTTGTGAATATTAAAAAGGTAAACAAAGTGACCCTAATTTGTGCAATTCCTTTTTTTTTTTACTGCCTTTTTGTGCAATTCCTTTATTTCAGAATCAAATAGGGAGAGAAAAAAATTTCAACAAATTAGAATAAAATTCTAAATGTAACAAAGGAAATGAGACTGCTTTGGGGGATGATGAAGATGTCCTCTAATTAGATAATGATGATAGCTTCATGATTATACAAAAAAAAAACCCCACCTCTCCTGAATTGTAACTAAAAACAATTGTAGCAATAATGATAAAATTACTATTAAGGAACAAGAATAGAAAATGGAGAAGACTAGTAAACTCTCATAAGCCAGCATATAAAAATTACGCTTTTAATGAAAAGTGCAAAACTTGAAAGAAGGATTCAGTCATGAGAAAATGCAATGAATTGGATAGAGTTTATTGGGGAAAATGAGGTTTCTACAGTTAACAAACATACAGAAAGAATGAAACATTTATTAGATGAAGAGAAGCAGATATAAAGACTGAGTTGAGAACATGGGCAGCCTGGAGGAAAAAAAGTGGGAATATAAAAATAAGTCCTTTGAACTGCAGTTGCAGCCACAGATCTAAAGAAAACAAGTTTATATTTAATGTGCAGAAACCTGCAGTTCACACTCTTGATTTAGATGCTGATAAGTCCTCTTATAGCATCTGAGTCATCTATTAATATCAATCTCAATAACCAACATCTAGGTGTGTGTTGATAGCTACAGGATACAGAAAGATGCTTAAAATTAATTTTGGAGAAAATATCTTCGATAAAAGACATTCAACACAATTTTTGAGGTATTGTTATCCTTTTCATTAGCTTACTTTTGAATTTATCACTAACTTCATAATCAGTG